TATTTGTTACTTTTGCAAATGGGCGATTATGTGAGAATTTGTTTTGTTTTGTTTTGTTATACATTTTTGCAAATGTTTACGAATAATCTTGCAAAAATCTCTGCTTAGTCCACGATTAGTTTCTAAAGTTTCTAAAATAAAATCTCTGAGATATTTGTTAGCATTTAATTAATACCAAATTATCATTTAATTCTACATATCTCTAACCAAAAAAACGTCATTAATATAGATAATTACACATATATTTATGTTTCCTTATTCCTTAACTTCTTCCCATATTAATAGGCTATATTACTCTTTATCTCGAGATGATTTTCGAATATTTATGCCATCTTAACTAATTACATCCACATACCATATATCATCTATATTCTCTTTATATTATGCAATAAAATATTTTTGAAACATAATTATGGCTAATTAAATTCTTTCCATTATATGGTTCCCTTCTCTAATTGAATCCATAATTCCCGCCCAAGAAAATCTCAACGATGATACCATAATTATATACTCTTCGATATTTTTCTTAACATTTGATTTTAAGAAACAAAGTTATGACTATAATTATTTTTTTAATTCGGTTTAATGTGATTTCCTAAACTAATTACCACATTAATCGGCTATATTCCTTTTAAATGGTTGCTTAGCTTTTTTTTAAGATTCTCTGCAAAACCAAATCATTTACAATCTTTTTCAAATAAATTTTGTTATATAACGATTTCCTAATCTTTCCTTAAACATATCCTAAACTTTCGTTGTATATAATATCTTTGATTTTCTACTTTCTCTCCAAGATATTATCAAACTACCTTAACAATAAACCTAGATGCCTACCTACCCTATAAATACCACACTTTTACTCGACTAGAAGACTCATCAAACAAATACTTCTTCTTACCCATTCCAATCTTTATTTGTTATATGAACTTTCATTTTTCTGATTCATGAATTTAATAAACATTTGATGTCTTGCGCAGATAATCCTATACAAGATGAGCAACCCATTGATGATTGCCATTATCAAGAGCATATGCTTTAAATTTACGTCAGATTCTTTCATATGGTTAGTTTTTTTTATTCACCCTATTTTTCTAGGTAAATCTTCATGTTTAATGATAATCTTAATATATATATATATATATATATATATATATATATATAAAAGATAACTACAGTTTGATAGCATTGATTTTTAAAAAACTTAAAAGAAAAAATAAAAAACGAAAATACAAACTATAACCCAAATGTTTTGAATTCCACTCATGCTTACAAATGAGATCAACAATTTCATACATCCAAATTGTAAGACATATATAATTGATTGTAAATTTTATTACTGTAATAATTCTTATTAAAGTATACTTATTAAACTCATAAACTCTAATTTATATAGTATATAGTATAAATGTGGATCCAAATATTTAAAATTTATTAAAAAATTAAATATTATAATTATTTAAACTTTTAAAAAAGTCTAACTTTATTAAACGTTTTTATTATTTATAATATTATAACTTTTATGAAGTTTCAAATATTATAAATATATTTGAATTTTATAAGAATTTATAAGTAGTTTAAACATTATAAATATTTATAAAAGATATTAATACGAGACGGTATACTACGGGTGAAATCCTAGATATAACAATCAAAATACAATTATGAAGTTTGGGTCGTATTAAAACTTTTATGAAGTTTCAAATATTAGAAATATTTGAACTTTATAAAAAAATTACAAAAATAATGTTTAATTTCACAGGACGGGGTTATATAGTGGACGGATTTAGATCGATATTAATACGGGATGGTATATTACGGGTGAAATCCTAGAATTAGCGATCAAAATACAATTATACAATCTTAAACACTAAATAAAACAAATACAACTTAAATTTTGATTTTTTAGTTATAAAATATTGACATGCGGTTTACCATATATCTATAGATCATTCTAAAAAAATCATTTTTTTATTTAGGGAAAATATAGATCCGCGGTGTACCGCGGGTTAATATCTAGTTATAACAGAGTAATAAAATAGTACATGATTACTATAAGAGAAAATTTTAAATCTTAAAATTTTAATCTATTATTGCTTAGCTAATGAAAATGACATTATTATTACGTATACATTAATAAGTTTTTGAAAACTTTATCTATCATTATCTATATTGAGATGGGAAAAGAAATGCAACGAGACAAAATCAACTACCACCCCGGCTGATTCATCCAAGCCTCATTTTTATTTCGTTAGGCTAAAATATTGGGAAACAAATATTGTACATGCAATTCTTAAGATCATAAACACTAACCATTCATGATCAAATATGACAACATGATGATGCTAGTTTTTTATAAATATTAAATATATCAAATATTATCGACCATTCCTCTCCCACCAAAACCCATATGTTTTTTTTTCTCTACCATCTAATCATTCTCCCACCTGAAAATATAAATTAAATCCTATAATATAGTTTTATAGCAATTTCAAAGATAAAATGTTTGTGGGAAGAGAACTAACGGATAGTGGTTCGAATGTCGAATTGCCAGTGATGAACATATTTTCCAATCTAGTAATCGTAAATGTTATCTGGTTTGGGTCACTACAGGTGTTTTAAGTGGGTAAAAAGTTAGTTTCAAAAGAGATTTTGATGATTCTGGATTTTGATTTTAAATCCTCCTAGTTGATGATTAAATACAAATGTTTGGTGTGGAAGACTCTTTTATATGGCTTTTTTTTTTTGGGACAAAGACTCTTTTATATGGCTAGACTGTGAATTCAGACGTATTTGTAACAAGTGTTTATGGCCAGACCTAACTTTCTATAAAGGTAGCACAAGAAGTCGTTGTTAGACTATATATTGATAAATTGGAGTTTTATATATTTAGATTATTAAGATAAACTGAAAAAGACTACAATATTTCACTGGTCCCAAATCGTTTTTGTAATAGAACCATATTTATCTCTTTTGTTTTAAGACCTTAGATTATTAAAAATTTGGTCTGTTTATAGCTTCCGATTTACATGTGTTATTACTAAATTCAACATGTAAGTTTCTTGGAAATTATATTTTGCCAATTTGACTTTACCTAGAAATCAAACAGCGAGCTCGTTGATTTGTTTTAAACCAACAAACGTTGAATCCTTGAGTTGAGTTCACACGTGACATTGACTTCTTCTTTTTTTGTATCAACTCGTGAAATTTTCAAGGAAATCTTCACAGCATATTTTAAATTTTTAATGATGTTGAAAAATATATCTGCAACTACAATAATGGAGGCTTGTTTTGTGAATATTATATAAACTTCGAACAAAATCTTTGTATACTAAATAATAATTTAATTTTTTCTTCACATTCATCTTGATTGGTTATTAGACTTTTTATCATGTAAGAGATTGTTTCATGATTTAGATATATTGTGGTTGAGCTTGATGAACTTGCGATGAAGTCCTAACAGAAAAAAGATAATAACAACACGATGCTAGTTAAATAAAAGAATTTGGTCTTAAGCCTTGATATTGAAGAAAACATTAGAAACATCTCTACTAGAATCTACTTAACATTTTTGAAGTACAAATTTGCTCCTTCCAATCGGGTCGGGTTTTTTTGTGATTTTGACCCGGAAATCTTCAATCGGATCTTTCCTTATTTTTTGGCAAAATTAAAAAACGAAATTAATTAATAAATTCTAAAAATATATATTTTCTCAACTAATTACTACACCTAAACTCTTTATTTATGGCATATTCTTTCTGATTTTTATAGATAAGGAAACCAAATATGATGATTTAATGCTAATATAACAAATTTGAGCTAATTTCCTAAAACTTCTCTACCTAATTTAAACAAAAATATATGATTCTCAATTCACTTTTATTTGATTTATATTTATATTGTTTTGAATTATTATAAAATATATATAGTTAATAAAATTTTAGATTTTTTCTGCATATGCTATGCTTCAAATTTTTTAAAACGGACATATATTACTCAATCGATGAAGAAAAAAAGTATGTGTTTAACCTATATTAACATTTTTAAGAACAAATTGCACATTTAATCAAGTCGTTTTTTTATTATGACCCGAAATTGAGTCATTCAGATATTTTCTTAATTTCTACAATTATCTAAAACGGGACAGTATACCACGGGTGAGATCCTAAAATTAACAAATCAAAATACAATTATTTAGTATTTTAAGATACAATTATAAATTGTTTTTACGGGTTGGTCCAAAAACACATACTAATTTAAAAATATATATATTATGGAAACCATCTGAAAGTAAAGTTTTAAATTGACTCGAATTATATGTCTTTTAAATAAAAGTGTTATTAAAAAAAATAACAAAATGATGTTTAATTCCACATGACAGGAGTATATGGTGGGACGGGTTTAGGTCGATATTAATACGGGACAATATACCACGGGTGAAATCTTAAAATTAACAAATCAAAATTTAATTATATAATCTTAAACAGTAAATAAAACTAATACAACTTAAAATATTTATTTTTTATATACAACGCATATGACTCGCGATGTACAACAAAAAATATTATACACAACAAATTCATCAGTTTATAAAAAGATTAAAAAAAATCAAATAATTAACCCGCGGTGTACCGCGGGTCATATCCTAGTATGGTTTTATAGAAATATATAGTAAAACACAGCAAGAGAAGAAAATACCAATAATGTTGATTAGATAAACAAAGTTACAAAACAAATCATATTAATTTTGGTAATGCCAATCTTCTTTTCTTTTCTTGGACCTTGGTTAAAACGAGTGAGTTTATAAGCAAAATCAAGGAGCTCGCAAAGATTCTGCGAATCAATCACAATGTTCATAACTATCAAGTAAGATATATCGGGTAGGTAGTAACAGACAAATAAAATAAATTGATTTCTCCTAATCATCACGTGAATAATGAGCTCTACAATTGCGGTTTAATTTTAATGTATACTACAATTTTCACAAAAAAAAGAAAGAAGAGAATAATTTAATAAATTTATTGGTGTGTTTGTTTTTGGCGATGGGGTCATGCGTCTTCTGTGGATGTCATGGACCATGGTGTCATATCCATGGGGTAACTTCCCAACACCCTTAGGAACGACGTGTACTCTTGAACCTCCGCAAGCGCGTTCTGTGCACGCGGCTCCGCCATCGACGCTTCAAAATCCACGTAAAACATATACTCGAAGTTCTTCGATGTCCCGAAGCTCCCGTCACCAACGACCCTTAGCGGGCGGTTGTGATGAGGCCGGGACTCGATCTTGGTCAGGCTAATGTCTCTGAAAGCGAAGGCTGAGAGAACTTTGAAGAGAACACTGGTTCCTTTGTGCTCTTGCGCAGCAAAGACGATGCTAGTCTTGAACGGTCGGTCAGTGCGTGGGATTATTGGCTCACGCGCTAACATTAGGAAGCGCGTGACGTTCCCCGGGTCGTCTTGAATTCCATCAGCTAATATCTGAAGGTTGTAGAGCTCAGCGGCGCGTGCGCTCGCTACAGCTGCCGTGTCATGTAGGTCGTTGGCTGCGATGTATTCCGCAGCAGCCGCTGTGTCATGGAAAGCCTCACGCGCGGCATGTGGGGTGAGAACATCGAGTGAGTGCTCCGTCTGGGCTAGCGCCTGCGGGTGAGAGATCACCCGCGAAACACAATCCGTTCGGACTCCCGGGAGTGCAAGGAGGCAATGGTGAACCGGAATCTGAACTTCTCCAACAATATGAAGACGGTGACGGAGGAGGAGATCATAGTTCCGATGAATCGAACCACCGAGTGAGTTCTCCACCGGAAGCACAGCTCTATCAGCGATCCAAAGCTCCACCGCCTGAAAAGCAACGTCGAACTGGTCACAAGGAATTGCGTCGCAATTCGGATAAGCTTTTCCGGCAGCTGCCTCCGAGTACGCACCGGGAACTCCTTGATAAGCTACACGTAGACTAGAACCATGCAACGGTGCCGGAGATAGATCCGTAATAGTCAACGGCTGAACCGGAGCTAATTTTCCGTTAGTAGACTCAACGGCGACGATACCAAGATTAACAGAGCCGTTCGTGTGACCATTAACGGCGGCGATCTTGTCGGCTAAACCACCGGGATTTTCAACAGAAGCAACTTTGCTAGATAAAATGGCACATGAGCTTTGCCAATCAGATCGACTCACGGAGACACCGTTAGGGAAGCTAAACGACTCCGACCTATAACCGCACGTAACAGCCACGCGCTTTGGAATCGCGTGAGAGAAACATTTGTTCCTAGCCGTCGGAGTTGTTGATCGGAACTTGAGATCACACGACGTAGCGGCTTGCATGATTTGGTAATGATGGTAAGACAAAACAAGATTTAAGAATAAAAAAATTTATAGTGTTGAAAGCTTGAGTTCTGTCGTTGAGAGAGAAGCTCAAAGCTGAGAGATAAGGAAGAAGAGAGATGGTCTTATATACACACATAAGAATAAGTTTTGTTTTTTTTGGGGCAAAATTAGTCTTGACGTATGTAATTCGGTAAAATCCTTCACCTACCACTTTCCATGTAATTTCTATACTTTGTTTTTTCTGAAAGCTACAGTTTGGAAGTAAAAAACTATAAAATGTTTAATAATTATGTCTTTATTGAAATATATGATAGTGTTGGTTTACGTGAAAGCGATATTCTTCTTAGTTTCTACCATGGTTTTGTATTGGTAAAAAAAAAAAAAAATGGTTTTCTATTGTTGGTGTTATATATGTCCATAGATTTTTTATAAATATTAGTTTTTAGATAAGTAACATTGGTGTTTCTTTAGAGAGCAGAGCAGGGGTTGGTAATTTTTCTCTTAAAAAATATTGAGTATTCAATTATGAATATATATTATAAAGAGTAAATTTTGTTTCTTTATTTTTATTAATTATAACTTAGTTACCCCACGTCAAAAATTTTAAATGATTCCAGAAATTTATCAAAAAAATAAATAAATTAAATGAGAAATTTTATTACGAAAATATGTAGGTTTTGATAAAATATAATACTAATGAGATATATGCAGTAGTAGGTCCACGATTTACTTTCTCTTATGTGGAATTTATATGTCCACGAATAACACGGTTTAGCTCACCTTCTTTTACTTTGACATGATAGTCAACGTGTGAGTGCATGCGCAGTAATAGACACATATAGAGTAAATCTTTTTATGAGATTTGACTGCATGTAATTGTGATCTGTTTGCCATAGTTTTATGAAAAAATATTGTTGATTTGATCGTTTTAAATTTTTGCAAAAAAGATTACTCCTTAACTTTCTTTACAATAAAATTTAACTCTTTGATTGTTGATTTGATCATCAATACAAAAATAGGGTTGTGATAGGTAATTTGTAAAAAACTTTTAGTGTGTTTTGTACATCTACATATACATTTTTACAGGGTTTTTTTGCATTAATTCATTTGGATCCGGGTTTTACCCGAGTTTAATTCTATTCGGATCTTGGATAAATAATTTTAGGAATGTTGTAATAAAACCGATATTACAAAAATCGTTGCCAAAAATATCTTCAGAAAAGATATTGCGATGAACTAATCGTTGCCTAAAATCCTGCCCAAATTCAATACGCTTTCTTTAAAAAATCCCAACTGTTAGATGTCATCCAAACTAATTACTCCCACATACCTTATCTGAGATATTTTCTCTCAAAATCTGCAAGAAATCAATTTTTTAGAAACAAATTTATGACACAAAATACATATTCACAGCATATTCCTAAATACAAAACTATAGCTGAGATTTTATTCCAATTAGCTAAGGTATCGAATATTTTATGCTTTCCGATCACGTCTCATAACATCATCACACACAAAACAACTATAACTTAAAATTTAAACTTTTTAGTTAAAAAAATCGACCCGCAGTATACCACGGGTTAAAATCTAGAGGAGGGAACCTTATATATCAGTGCGTAATGAACTATATAATTTTCTCTATCTCTATATTTTCAAAAATGAACTTCAAATATACTAATCTTACAATATATATATATATATATTCATTTAAATCAAAACACATTAGAATATATGTAAAACAAAAGTCTTAAAATAAAAATAAAAAATTTTCTTTAACAAAAAAATTCAAATATGTCAAATAAAATATTTAAATTAATAATTAAGAAAAATTAAATAATATTTAGGCCCGCGGTGTACCGCGGGTTAACATCTAGTTCTCAACATAAGTGTACATTGACTTAAATTTAAAACAATTTAATTGGTAGATAAAATAATATTGATACTAATATTAATCTATACTATATAAAATTCAAAATTATAAGCTTTTGAAACTGCATACCTTAGCTTTTAAACAACCAATAATCTAAGTCCACGTTAGCGTCTAGTTAAATTAGGAAAGTTTTTTTTTATTATTATTTTAAGGTAATGTTATTAATTGAAAAGAGTTTAGATGATAAGGAGATTATGTCATAATTTCTTTTAAACAAAACAAAATTAGCCTAATATCAGATTAAAGAAAAATTTTAATTCTTAGATAGTGATCCCAACTATATATAATCATCTATGACTAAAGTATTTTTTAGAGATAAAACGTTTTTTATATTACTATTCAACATCAGCATGAATGAAAAAATTAATTTATGGGTAGATTAGGAAAGTTTTGTCTTATAGTGTTCTTTATATGAAAGTGTTAACGAGATGAAAAAATTATGGCATGGTTTCTTATGAACAAAAGAGAATTTAGTACTAATATATATAGTGGATTAAAATTCGCGTATCCGAGATATCAAACATAGCCTTTGTAATTGTCCATATAAAATTTTAAACAACAAATATAATCACTCCACATGAGCATTCAAAATAAATTCTCTACGATTGATATATAAAATATAATCGTCAATGTCAAAAATTAAAAAGAATATTAACGTCAAAATAAGTAACAAATAATGGAAATTACCTAAAGCAATGAGTTTAGGAAATAGTTATCTTAGTTTTTTTGAATTAACAACAAAAATAAAATTAATATAATGCTAAATTAGGAAAATCTCTTAATTTTAAATTAGTAGTCTAAGTTATATCTCTATGTATGACATATTCTAAAAGCTACCAAAAAAAAGTTGACTCTGAAATAACTATTGATCGTTGTGGTCTATATGAAAACCAAACGTGCTTGTATGAAAGCCAAAATTTCGATGGATTGCTACCAAAAAAAGTTGTTAATCAGAGGATTAGAGTAAAAATAGAAGTTACTTGAAAAATGAGTTTAGAAAATAATAAAATTTTGTTTTAGTTTTCGATTTACCAAAAAAAAAAACAAAATTAACCTAATATGAAATTCTAAAAATTTATTAAGTCTAAGGTGCTAGTCACAACTATAAATAACCATCTAAAACTTAGAACGTAAGATAAATAGCCGAAATAACATAGAAATTCTCTTTAGTTTTTCGGAATGTGAAGCATTATTGAGATTAGTTCGAGAGAAAAAAATAGGGGAAGGTTATGTGACTCCAAAGAGATATTAAATACCATATGATGTTATATTCTCAACTTTAAATCAATTTTGATCCGTTTTATCGATAAAATTATTAGATGTGTAAAAAAAAAAGTGATCGCGTAGATGCAATTTAGTTTGGGTTGATTTCCAATAATCATGTTTAAACATTTTGGTGTTGAGTGTTGACAACACTGGATAGAAAAAAACCGCGTGAATCAATCCTAGTAATATACTGTATACTAGATGTTAACCCGCGGTACACCGCGGGCATATATATTATTTGAAATTTTTTGTTGAATTATTAATTTCAATATTTTAGTGGATATTATGTATTTTTTATTAATTTAAATGTATATATTGATATAGAGAGTTGTACATATCTATAAATGGTAGAATTAGTCAATTTCAATATCATTTCTTAATAATAATATTTTAAATTTATATTAATGTTTACTCAAACCCGTTCCGCAAAACCCGTCCCGTGTTATTTTAAATTTTTGTATATGTTTAGATATTCATTATATTTAAAACTTTTTAAGAGTTTAAAATTAACTATATTCGACAAAATTTAAACAGTTTAACTAAAAACCCGACGTAAACCCTATACAAACTTTTAAATGTGGATGCTTGATAAGTTAAATTTTCTGTTCATTCGGATTTGGAATGTAAATTAATTGTGGTTATGAAAAATAAACAAAAACTATAAATATTAAGAATATATTTAAACTATAAAAAATTTTAAAATAACATTTGAAACTTCTTATAAATTTTTAAATATTTATAATGTTTATAGTTCTTATAAATTCTTATAAAGATCAAATATTTATAATATTTGAAACTTCATAAAAGATTTAATATCGACTCAAAATACATATTTGTATTTTAATTATTCTATCTAGGATTTCACCCGTAGTATACTATCCCGTATTAATATCGACCCAAACCCGTCCCACCATATAACTCCGTCCCGTGAAATTAAACATCATTTTGTTAATTTTCTTTTTATTAATATTTTTTTAAAAAGATATATAATTTGAGTTAGTTTAAAAGTTTGCTTTAAATGGTTTCCATATTATATATATTTTTAATTTTTATAAATTCAAATATTATTAATATTATAAACTTTTTATATAATTTAAATATTATAACAACTTTAAACTATTTTTTGGTAAGGATATAGACCCTAGTATTGAAATAGGCCGATGCATATCTATTTTCTTTAGAACGTGAACGCCTAAAGTTGGTTCACAAATTCACAAATCACAAATTATATCGATCTAGTCAACAAAACCACGTAAACCACACAAGAAACCAATTTGGTCAACATCAACAATTTCCTTTCTTCTCCAATAATTTTGACTCATCAGAGAATCAATAAATAATTTGGTCTGTCTTTTTATTTGTGTATATTTTAGATATTTACAATTGAATGGAAAAAGCGTAAAGATGCTGCAATTAAATGAATCTTGAAGGGTATAAAGATTAACCTTCAAGGTACAATGCTGGAAATAGGCCATCTGGTGAAATGACCACATGGCCATTTGGTAGAGCTTTTCCGTCCTGCAGCCAGTAAGAAAACATGATTCCATAAGTAGCAGAGGGATATCATAACAACAGGCTATAGTAGCCTCACACATCATCATTTCAGCTCCCTAAGCTTCTGTTATTAATTACGATTATATATGGATTAAGTGCCAATTCACAAGTAAAATGATATCACTCTTACCTGCTTCAGATTATTTAAGAAACTTCTCATTAGATATGCCTGAACGATGGCACGAGCGCTCAGAAACAGCAACTGATATCCATTCTCCTAAAAAATCCAAAGCAATGTACAGCATAAAGTTAGATCCATACTTACAGAGTACAAATTTAAGATATACAAATCACGTAAACCACACAAGAAACCAGTAGATTTTTGTTTGTGTTTAGAGATTGGAGAA